CGAACGGAGACGTAACAGTACTAATTTTCTGTAATAAAATAACTTTGTGGTAGTAATTTATACTAATACGACAACATTTTTTAACAATTGTTATTAATACTATAATAGTATTGCAATAATTACTAATGCAACAACCTTGAAGCAATTACTACTAATACATCGTGAAAATCAGTAGCAATATATTCTACTAGCTGAGTTACCCGGCGTTGTAAGGTGAAAATTTAGATTTGAAATGTATACATCAGTATTTTTTTCAGCAAATTATTCAGTAAGTAGACAAAAGCTGTGACGCGAGAAATAAAAAAGCATTTAAACAAATAGCCTTATTTGAAATCAGATCATGTTTGAGCTTGTCTTGTTCTTTGAGACTGAAGTCGTACATAATGTTGCTCCTCTGTTTCTTCTCTCTGTAAGTTATTTGTCTTAATTTTTGTGCTTGAAGTGTGGTTTCACGTTGTTCAGAAGTTTCTTGTTGCCTATATCCAGCTTGCCTTGATGATTCTGACTGAACTCTGGCTTTGTGCTGTTCAACAGTTTCTTGCTGTCTTTGAGTAGCCTGCCTTTCAGCTTGAGCGCGAAGTCTAACTTTACGTTGTTCCAAAGTCTCTTCCTGTATTTGAGCAGCCTGTCTTGCAGGTTGTGATTGAAGTCTTTGATTGCGTTCTTCTTCTGTTTCAGCTGCTCTTTGTGCTTGCATCCTTTTAGTGGCAGAAGAATTTCCATAGAAAGGGCGTTTCTTGGGTGGTATAATCACCTGTATCACTAAACAATAATTTGCAATTCACAAAGTTACTAAATTACTTATGAAATCACTTAGTACTATTTAAAGAAAACTGTTTTTGGAAATACTGAATTGACAGCAAGGTGGTCCGAGTGTCTCCCGCCATAACGCTTTCTTGGTGCAAAACGTGCTTATGTTTGTATGTTTATTACAAAAAAGTAGCACAATAATCATTAATTGTCAATTTCATCATTAAATACTACACTAAATACAAAATAAATAGCACCATTAAATTTCTTGTAAAAAAAAATGGTTATTATGAAGTTATTTTAAAATTTGTAAGTTCAATTGTTTGGTTTCCTATAGCGAACGAAATAAACAAATAAACAATGTTCCTCTTTTATATATATATAGATAAACACATCTATAAAAAAGGGACATATGGTATGGATAAACTTGTTCAAAGCTGTGGCAAGATAGGAGGAACCTAAAAGTCTTGACTTGTCTTGAATTCTACATAATGGAGAAAAACCTCAATAATGTTTGTATTTTAAAGAATTATTAGGTACTTATATGTGCACTTAAGAATTAAGTAGAATTTCCTCATATCAATGGTGATAATATGCTTGTTCACTTATTAGGTACAAGAAGCAACTGGAAGGATTTTGGATGCTTTGCTGTTGGATATCCAGCAGTTAGTTCATTCAGGTAGTGTGGACATCCCAATCTTGGACTCTCTCAAGTCCCACATCCCAGAACTCTGTGAGTGTTTGATTGAAGAAAAGAGCACCAGGACTGGCTGGGTATTAAACCTGCTCAAGTTTCTTTGTCTTCATGGAGAAGAGACAACTAGCTCCAAGATTTTAGGGCAATTGTTACAAGCTTTGAAAGGTGAAAAACACTTCTCTTTCCTGAAGACATTGTTGTTTCATGTTGAACCTCATCAGCCTAGTATCTTACCTAAAACTGTGTCCTGGCAACTACAGGAAATGAAAGCAGGTAGCCTGGCCTATCCTCTAAGGCTTGTGAAGAATTTGATCAGTTTAATGAAGTCAAAAGAGTATTCTCCCAAGATAATTGAAACTTTGAGAGAAAACATTGAAACCCTGGTTACACAACCTTCTCTGACCATGATGGAATATTATGATGCCATTATTGAGCTCCTCAGTCTAACTGCTGCCCCAGAAGAAATGTCTGTATCTGCAGTTAACAAAATTGCTTCAGCATGTGTATATTACTTCTTTGCAGTTACTGGCCAGAAAGACCTAGACAAGCGTAAATTAATATTGAAAAGAGTAAATGTTTGCCAAAAACTGCTGAAGATACTTTGTCAACAGTCGGCCTGCCAACATATCGCAATAAGGATGCTTCTTGAAGGAGTTCTGAGTGAGAGGCATTGTCGAAATTTTGGCTCTTCACTAGTAACTCCAAAATCAGCAAATCAGTCTAATTACACAAAAGAAAAGTCTCTTCTCGTAGAAATAGGAAAGCATGCTACAGATATTACGCTGCCTCAAAGCCATTCTTCAGTGTTTCATGCCGGTGTTATTGGAAATGGTTTGCGAGCACTTGAAAGAATTGAACTACTTCCTGACAGTGAAATCTTACTTAATAAACAGCTGTTCCTGCAGCTTATCCACAGTTGTTGTTCACCGTACAAACTGGATTCTACAGAAAAATCTGTAAAGTCTTACAAACAAGGTGGCATGAAGATTGTAGCTCTTCTAACAGTTGAACTGGTTTCTCCAGATATTATGTTCAATGGACTTCCGTGGCCTGATGAAGATACACAGAAGGTTTGTGAATATTTACTGTTTCTTCAATCAGTGAATAGATTGATTGCTGTTGCAACGAGACTCCTGATTAGTATGTAATTGTGTACTAACTTTTTCTCCATAGATAATATTTTTATTGAATGGCAAATAGTATTTTGTTATTCAATTAGTCCTATGTATGAATTTAAGTTACTCGATGTTTGAGCTTTAAAAATAATTATAGTATGTGGAATGCAAGTCTAATTTTTTTTTACAAATTATCCTCGCAATTAAAATTGCAATGCAGGTTCTTACTTCAAGATTTATTGTTAAAAGTGGGAAAATGAAAAAGAATGGAATAGTGACTATATAAAGGAAATACATTTTATGCAGTTTTTTTAGCATATTCTGGTGTGGTTACATGGATTTCAATAATACCAAGATTGTGTTAGTATACTTGGACATTTTCTTTTTCATGTTAATTATATTGATAGAGGTATAATTAGTAACTTAGTAAAGTGTGCTAATGATATTAACTCTTACCTCACAGCTGAGTCAAAGTGCATGTCATGACCTTATACAGAGTTTGTTCAAAATTTAATTAAACAATTTTATTATCAGTGTTTGTCTTGGCATCAAAAGGTAGTTTATAATTCAGATTTCCATATTACCTAGGCTTTAGTATTTTTATCTCAAACGAAAATAATAAATTTCAATCTTCCATCCTGTGTGTTAAGTGAACCATCTACATGCCGAATTCTTTCCTGTAGAGATATACCCTCCCTATTATGGCTTTCAGTGTTCAGCTAATTAGAAATACAAACTCTACATTATTACAAGACAGAATATAAAATTTGAACATCTTATTAACCTTCATAATTTGCTCAGATATCAATAAATTTGTTAAATCCACCTGAAGCCCCTCACACCTTTCTGGTACATAGAAAGAGGAATTTGGTAAAAGAGGAAAATGAAGAGTTAATAATTGAATGATTTCAATTATGTGTTTTTCATTTCAAGACTCTTCAATTTGCCCATTCAGCATAATATTATGAGATTATCTATTTTATGTGTTATGCATGTATACTGTTGCTTATGTGCTCCATATTTTTAGTTAAATGTATTGCAATGCAAGAAGTGTTTCATTTGTTGTTACTTTGCATGATTATTTAAACAAAATTATAATTATATTTAAAACTAAAGCATTATTTAAAATTTCCATTTGTTATGCAAAGTGTAAGCAAGCAAAATGTTTGTCATAAAAGGTTACAAACTTATAGCTTAAATGACCAGTGATTTTAATTTGACATGGAGGTAAAAGTATAAACTAACTCAACCACCTGAAAAGTTTTATATTTGAGAACCTCAGACTTAAGGAACATTGTAAATGATGCTTACATATTTTTGAAAGTCTCAAAGAAACAAAACGTCACTAAAAACAGTGTTAAAATCATCCAAAGAGAACCAGACATCAACAAAAGAATAATAGCTGAAACACTGCTGATAAAGTCAACAAAGCTAGTGCTAAACAAATGGCCAGGATACCCCCCTTTATTTATATTAATATTTGATCCACCTAATTTTACTTAAAAGCTAATTTAATGCCACCTACAACTTGTTCTTACCATCATGAGCCTATAAAATTCTCTGAGTGCAACATTTACCTGATATTATGAGTCAAAAGATTGTAACCAATAATATCAGAACTTGCCTATTGTAAAAGTTGCTGTTATTGTATATTGAATTTTTAAAATGATTTCAGGTCACTTCAGTAATATGTAATTGTTGTATAAAAGTAGAATCATATGCTTGGGAAAATAAAATTAAACTGATTTATGCACACTAACTCAACATATTACTGATAACTGAGTTTAGTCATTTTTGTAATCTTTACACTAAAAAAAATTACATTTATTAGTGGTATTAATGCTCTACATTAACAATGTTATTGATTAATTGATCTGTGTCTTAGTTTACTTTTAACTTCTTACTTCCCAGTACCTGTAGTTTATTTTCAGGTTATATTGTTCTTGGTAAATATGGAAATTAAACTTAAGTGACTTCTAAATCAGTGCTAATATCTGGCACAATTGACTTCTAAATCAGTGCTAATATCTGGCACAATGGTCAAGTAGTCTGGTCATAGATATACTAACTGAATGTTTTTGTTACAATTCTAACATGTTTATAAAAGATTGTTTGGTAGTATTAAAACATTTGGCATGTACCTACTAGACAAGTTAAATGTAATCTTCATGAAAATGTCTGATTGGTAGATTATTCGATCAGCAGAGAACTAAATTACATTTTTAAAGAAATGCTTTGAATATATTTAAAAAATAAAATATTAAGTTGACAGATTCAAGCTGTATACATCTATGTATGCATGTGTATGTGATTATACATTTTCTTTTAGGTTTATTACTTTTTCTCTGATATTAATGCATATCTTTTTTTATATTTATTATAACTTTATGGCTTTGTATTTGCAGGTGACGATAGAACGTGACCTCAACATTAAACAAATGTTTTGCACTCACCCAGTGTTATGGAATCTCTTGTATGCTATCGCAAGCATTCACCCATCTCTGTGTTATTGCAGTGTTCTTTTGAGAGCTATTGTAGCAGTGGTAATGACACACTGGGGCAGTTGTCAAGCAAAATTAGCCAGCCACTTACCTGAACAGTTGGAATTAACGAAGAAGGTGATAGAGCTTTTGTCTCTTGGTCAGCTTCTTCCTCCACCACTAGCCTATGTTGGAGACATTCTTCCTCATCTTCCTCCGTTTGAGTTATCGTGCGTGTTGGCAGACATTTGGCAGTACATGCATGACAACGTACCAAGCCCTGCATTATTCACTGGAAGAGATTCGTCTAGTGGTCAGATGTGGAGAGACTTCTCTCGTGAAGCGGGTCCAGAAACTGCTGCTCCAAAGTGTGACAAAAAATATACAGACAGGCTTCGAATCATCATGCAAAAAAATATTGAGAAATTTGGATCTTTGTATGTAACATTTTTTGAAGGTTTTTAAACTACATAAACTTGTACAAGAAACAGAGTTCATTTTTCTCTTTTCATTGTAAGTTCAAGTGGAAGTTATTCATAAATTTACATAAATATATGACATGGTGTTTGGAGACATATATAACATCTTAATTATTTTTTTTATTATGTTAAATACATGCAATAAGCTAGAGGAATAATTGCATTATAATAACTGTGTGTGGGAGTTACTTATGGTAGGTTACAAGCTTCAGCTGTAATCTGAAAGTGTATGCTCCTACATGCCCTTCAAAAAAGTACAAGCTGAAATATTAAAGTCTTTACAACCCTGATTAGAATGTAGTAGTTTTACAGGTCTGACTTGTGAAGTTGAATAAGTGTGCCATTTTTATTTTAAACTATTGTTTAAAAAATGCTGAGAATTGATAGATCTTTAAGTCATTTGCCTTCTGTAGTGGTATTTTCAACAATTTTATTATGTATTCTAAATTAAGCTAGTGGATCACCATATGTATAAATTTTGAGACAGTCGTGTCTCATGATTGTGATTTAATAGAAGACATTAAGCAGGTATCCAAGGATTAATATGGAATGTCCATATACATAAAGTTATGCAATTTTAATAAATCATTGAAAAGTCAGAAGCTTGTTGGATGTTTTTATTTTTTTAGGTTTTATTAACCAACATGAAATTAGAAAGTACAATCTTCAATATTCTTGTTTAACTGTTCATCAGTTGGGAATTTTTATTTCAATCAATTTGAAACTGTTAATCTTGTAGATTGTTTTAATTTTGTGCATGCTTAATGCTTAAATATTGTTTGATTTGTACAAATGTTAAAAACATTATGATAAACCTAGTAATCTATCAATGAATTTAATACAGACTGTATTGAACTTTTAAAGTCTGTACATTACTTGAAAATGCTGGGAGACAAATGCAAGGGTTTTACAGTTTATGTAAAGGGTGGCCCAAAATTAGGTATACAGTTGATAATTGATAATGTATTTAAAGTATACGGTTGATAGCTGATAATTTATTTATCGGCACTGGAGTCTGATAATTTATTTAACAGTCCTGGAGTCTGCCTGCCACACTTCTGCAAACTTTCTGACACAAGTCTGTCTGTCCATCAAGTTTTGTAAATTTGTCTGTGATGTACCCTTTCATTTCATCAACATTCCTTAGATTTCTTACTGTACACTTTTGTGCTTGAGTATTCCCCAGATGAAAAAGTTCATAGGGGTACAGTGCGGTGACCATGAAGGGATCTTGATTGTGCCTCTGCACCCTATCCACTTATGAGGGAAATTTTCATCAACACAATCACAAGTTATTAGATTCAACACATGCAACTGTATACCTACTTTTGGGCCACTCTGTATTTCATGTTTGCAGAACTTGCTGGTGGAATTTTTCATCAGAATGCTATAACGTGCGAATATGTTATACACACATGCATAGAGAAATGTTTAAAATAATGTATTTGAATTGAACACAAGAAATAACTGTAAGATCAGTGTACTGGTACATTTGAGCATAGTTCCATGGAGCTATAGACCACATTAAGCCATTTTTCAGAATCGCATTTCTGTAGGGAAGAAACTTATGAGTTGTATACAGCTTATATATTCTTTAGTTTTAATAATTTATTTCTCTTTGCAATCCACCCCTTTGAAAATGTGATAGTGTATTCAAGGTCTATACAATAATGTAAAAATATAGAAAGGTCAGGCACTCGGCAGTAGCCCCCCAGTGGCACGGCTGTATGTCTGTAGACTTGCAATGCTAGAAACCGGGTTTCGATACCCGTGTTGGGCAGGGCACAGATAGCCCTTTGTGTAGCTTTGTACTTAACTACAAACAAACAAACATTCAGCAGTAAGCTTGTGGGCTTATAGTACTAAAAATCATTGTTCAGTACCTATGGTGGGTACAGTGCAGATAATCCATTGTGTAGCTATGAGCTAAAAAACAAACAGTGAAAGAGTCAAGGGTTTTGTCAAATATTAACTTATAATTGGTTTGTATCCTTCCAAATATAGGAGACACTTGGATAAATGTGGCTTTTGAGTTTAATACCAAATTAGTGTTTTCAAGTTATGTTCTGTTTGCTTGGCTAGGAAATCAAATTTACTCTTTTGATTATCTGTTTGAATTTTGTACTAGAGTTGGAAATGTGTATACCAGTATAATAACGTTAAAAATGTAATGTTCTTTTGAACTTTAAGATCATTATGTGAGACTGTTAAACTTTTGCTGTTGGTGAAACTTCATTAGATGAATTATAACCCTCATCAATTTATTTTCTGTTTATTAAAACAAGAGTGAAATTTATTTTATATCTTAATATACTAGTGTAGCAACCCATGTTTTTTGTTTTTTCAGACATTTTTTACTGTCGTAATTGTTCACTTAGTTACTGTTTGTTTTAAAACATTACTTGTCAGAAATTAAAATATGTGCTGGTTTAAAATATGCTACTAGATACACGTTATGAAAAAAATATAGATACTAAAATATTTTAAAATCATCTTGTGTTTCAGAAAGGTGGATAATTATCTACCATGTGTAATATCTTTCTAGTACAAAGAAAATGTAAATTAAAAATTTTCATGGGCTTGTCCAGAGTCAATGGTAAATAACACTTCTTTATTCTGTAATTTTTGTATGTGTCCTATAATAAAAATGTGAAGGTTATTCTGACATAAAAATTAGCAATTTAAACACAAAAATATATCATACAAATAAACACTTTGAATTAAAGTTGAATGTATAATATTTGTTTTTAGCAAACCCAATGAAAAACTTATAATATATATATATATATTTATATAGACATACAAATGCACAATTCCTAATTAATTTTAACTAGCAAAATAGAATATATATGTATATTATGCATCTTGTCATCAGAGTAGTAGTGGTAGATCTTGCTGTTGTGATTTAAAAATCACTTAAGTCATCTAAACAGTGTATT